TTTAAATCATTTCAAATATCAGTATTCAACGTTTTATGTTTAATATATCAAAACGTTATTTATGCATTTGTAATTGCAGGTTAAATGCATTCATGTCTTGCATTAAACAAAATACATGTGTGTAAATACATCTAAATGCCACTTCAGATGCAGCTTCTGTGTTGATTTAATTTGCTTGGTAACAGCCCAAATGTCTTATTATTCTAATTCCCTGATTAAATGTAAGAATTTGACTCAAAGGTAATGGACACTTTTAGAAAAAATGGCTTTATAAAGGTAAAAATGCCCATAAAATGCAAAAATCAGTTTAAACTTATTGGAAAAGATTAATTTCTATCAGTATGAACTGACCACCACACAGAATATGAAGAATATTAAAAACATTAGGAGTCAGCTGTCTTCGGCAGTCCTTAAGATACCAGCACAATAACACACTCAGCAAAATATCGTCTAATCATCGTTATCGATAAAATCCCAGAAAATATCGAGATATCATTTTTTGTCAATATCGCACACCCCTAGTTCCAAGTGTGTCAGTGAGAGTAACAGACCCTGGAGCACAAAAGCAGTGTTAAGTCGCTGGGGTATATTTGTAGCAATAGCCAACAATACATTGTATGGGTCAAAATTATTGATTTTTATTTTATGCCAAAAATCATTAGGATATTAAGTAAAGATCATGTTCCATGAAGATATTTAGTAAATTTCCTACTGTAAATATATCAAAACTTAATTTCTGATTAGTAATATGCATTGCTAAGAACTTCATTTGGACAACTTTAAAGATGATTTTCTCAATATTTAGATTTTTTTGCACCCTGATTCCAGATTTTCAAATAGTTGTATCTCAGACTAATATTGTCCTATCCTAACAAACCATATGGAAAATAATTCCATAATGGAAAGCTTATTTATTCCGCTTTCAGATGATGTATAAATCTCAGTTTCATAAAATTGACACTTATGACTGCTTTTGTGCTCCAGGGTCACATGTGTCATCAAAAAAGAGCAGCTTTGAGGTTTGCCAACAGTTAATTTTTGCTCTGTAAAAAAATCAATAATAACAATAATAATATTAATAAATAATAATAATATAAAAAAATGTTTAATACTAATAATAATAATAACCAATAATATGAGTAATAATAACAGTAATGATTCTGTTCTGTTTGGCTGGAAGATGAAGAAGTGTGTGAATGCGAACAGTGAGTGTCCCGGCGGTGATCAGCTGACCTCAGTGCAGTTTCACCCGTCTGCGCAGATCGTGATGACTGCAGGTCTGGATCACTCCGTATCACTCTTTCAGGTGAAGCACTGCTCATAACCTCACAGTCCAGGCTGCGTCTCAAAGCATTCACTCCATCACTCATCCCTGTATAGTGTGTTATATGAGAGAGGACTGTAATCAGACGCTGTCATGTGCTCCTCACATCAGCGATCTGTCACACACTGTTTATCACCAATACGCTTTACTCACGTGGACAATATAGGTCTGAAGTTACCATGACTGTTGAAGTATTATAATCATGTGTGTCTGTGCCAGCTCTCATCAGTGGTGTCTTAAAGGGGTAGTTGACTCAAATGAAAATCATCATTTGTTATTTACCCTCAAGTCGTACTGAACTGTACTGAACAAACGCTTGCTCAGCTCAGAATCGTATCATGCACACTAAAGGGTGAATTACTGACAACTAAGCTTCCATAACTGTACAGACTCATGAAACACGCTGTCATTCAGATGCTGATGCTGTTTTATTCTAAATATTAATCGTGTATGAATTGCTGAAGCAGTATCTTAATTTTCTGTGAGTTCCTGTGAGTCAGTTGCAGATGAGGAGACAAACATACTGCAAATGAACGTCAAAATCAAATGAACAACAAAGTAGTCAGTGCGAGTCAGACTGCACTTGATGTAAGGTCAAAATCTGTTGTGAATGACCTTCACTACATGAAATAAGCTTGAAGTTCCTTCTTCTCAACAGGTGGATGGCAAGAGCAACCCAAAGATCCAGACCATCCATCTGGAGAATTTTCCAGTGAGCAAGGCTTCGTTTAGCGCTGATGGTGAACATATAGTGGCGACTGGACTGAGGAACAAACTCTTCTACATCTATGACATGATGGAGGGCAGAGTTCTCCCTGTGTCTAGTGTGCGAGGTGAGATCTGGGCTGTGTTCCACTCCACGTGTAGACACACTCGTGACCTTCCCTAAGCACTTCCCCTCGGGGGAATCCCCGCTGCCATTCTGAAGTGCAAGAGACGTTTACATGGACAGACCCTCGACCCCTCGATTTTGACCGAAGGAGCGAGTCTGCTTAATATGCACACTTCAGGCCGCTCCATAGACCACAATGCAACACGATTATGACGTCATCGCCGATAGCGTTCAATTTATCCCCACCCCAAACAACTCTATAATATATAAATTATTTTTTTAAACATTTATAACAGCCCAAGCATATCTATATACATATAGAATGCTGCACCAAACGAGGAAAATCTGCGCTGAAACCGTGTTACATGTCATTTGCTCAGAAAATTTTTTATGAATTTTTACAAGGCATGGATGTGACAATGTGATACATGCAACAAACATCTTCCCAAGTTCTTGGTGAGAATCATTTATAAATCTGCTGTTATCAGCAAAAAAAGCAGTGAGGTCTTCCTGGGGGTTTCTGCCAAAATAAAAGCTCCATCAACATTCATAAATATTAGTATTGTAATTTTACTGTTATTCTGTAAAATAAAATTCAAGTTAGGGGATCTCAAAAATTACCCCCAAAAAATAGTTTTACTAACATTAATTTGAAGTTAAATTGTGCTTTGTTGGTATAATGTCTCCTAGAATGTTAAAAGGGTCCTATTATGTTCTTTTACAAAGTCTTGATTTTGTTTTGGGGGTGTACTAGAACAGGCTCTCATACTAGGTTGTTCGAAGTGTGTGTGTTGTGATTGGTTATCTGGGCCAGTGTGTGTGTTGTGATTGGTTAGCTGGGCCAGTGTGTGTTGTGATTGGCAGCACTCGGCGCCTGGTCGGGAATGACATGCCCCTTACCATAGCGAGCTTCAGTGTAAATATTACGTCAAAATCAAATAAATTTGAGCGCGATTTAAACTCGTATGATTGTAACCACTCTAAGTTCGTCTGCCTTGGGAAAGCTAGCGTGTCTCCGACATAGTGATAA